GATTCCTATTCTTACCTGTCTCATGAATATTTATACGGACTAATAACTTTCTGTTTTCTTTCAACGCGACGGCTAGGAACTTTGTTTCCCGCTGGTATTGTTCCGCAAACAAGACTGGAAGTACAGACGGTAGAATTACCATTCAGGGTTCGGATTATTAAAATTTTTATATTTTTGTTAAAATAAAAAATTCCGATGAAGAATGTTGATTCTCCAGAGAAAAAAGAAGAAATCCTGTTTCGACAAAAAGGACAGTTTATATTCCCCCTCTACTGGAGGAGCAAATTACTGGAATGCAGTCTTTCGTACAAAGAAGTGCATTTCAGAAGGGAGAAGCACGTGCAGGTGGTTCTCGTTTTTTCGCGCCTTTCTGCTCTTATGAACGTCAAGCTTGACTGACTTTAACACCAGCCTTCAAAGGAACACCGACACGCATTCCTTAGTCTTGAGAAGCTATAAATATGCGTCTATTACTATAGAAATTGACATTAAGGCAATCTTTAGCAGTAATTTAAAGAAGTAATATAAAGACAGATAATGGCAAAACTTGGACCAAAAGAAGCCTACTTTGCACCCAATTGTACCCACAATTAAAAATCATTTTTTATGAATACTATAAATGAAATTTGTTCAAATTCCGAAGTAAACATTAAATTTTTCCATATCCTAATTACACCCCATCGTACAACTCCCACCCTAATTTTGCTCCACGTGTATAATTATCCCCTAAGATGGAGAACAGTGTTGTTTCATAATGTTTACTAAATATTTCATTCATTTAAACGAGAAACGCTTAAGACTCGTTTGGCTGTAGAAGGGATAGCCTTTTCCGTAGACGGTTTAAGACGCTTCTCTCCTCGCCATTGTTCTTTCCTCGCGACAAAGGAGCACTCAAAGAGACAGCCGGCCGTTTTGTTTCGCGTCGTCAAATTATTACGGAGCAGCGAAGCGAACGGGCAGAGAGAAAGAGACAGAGAAAAAAAAAGGAAAGTCTTGTATATTTTGAAAAAGGGGTTACGCAGTGACTCGGCTTCCAACATTCACAGAAACACTCTCGTGTTTTTTCCCCCCCAGCACTCTGCTTCCTCTACGTAGTACGTGTCGTTAATTGCTGACACGAAAGGTACAAACTTTTGGATACAGACTTTCCTCGACGGCACGGCACAGTCGTAATTAATGCCGCTTTTCCACAAAGAAGAGCAGACAGAGAAAAACGGCCAGACGTTGGAAAGTCGGAGAAAGATGAAAGGAAGAACAGGTGGATCAGAGGCAAAGGAGAATGAAAAATGGAGAACGGGGGACTGAGAGGGAAGAAATACTGTTAAATCTGTCTATTCGCTTACTTCTACTCCTTTATACATATACAGGCCGTTTCAAAACGTTAACGATAGAAAGTTTGAAACTAATGAATATCAACTCGTTAATTAATTATCTGAAGAGGTCAAAATTAATTGACTGATGCTAAAATAATTTTTTATGATATACATTCATTTCTAAAATTTAATTTATTAATTATCTTAAAGTGTCGTTAATCATTTTTAAGAGGACTAACAATTCTGCCTTCTTTTCTTTTAATATTATTCCCTAATTTATTTATACATTTTGTGAAACATCCTGTATATGTATATGTATATTCATCTGGATTTCATGCGATGCATCCTTATATCCTCGTTAGGAAATGTATCCTTTTTAGAAGGATACAACGTAGGTTATCCATAGTAGGTCAGTTCCTGTTGTTTTCTTCAGCGTTACAGTGTCGCTAACCTCGGACGAAACTGTGCGAAATTAGACATTGGCATTGCGCCAACGTAACGACTTCATCGTTCGCCTATGCAGCGCAAGAAAATATTCGCAACATTACTCTTAACAAGGTGGAACTATGTACTTCAACGATGATTTTATCAGGTTTTCCATTGCAGTGAACTTTAATCTTCATTAAACAACATATTTTTTATATTTTTTATATTTTTTATATTTTATATCTTCAGTATCTTCCATAAAATATGCTCGATAATATGATAATTATTTATCACAAAGTATTATTTATATAAAAGTTAAATGTAGAACTTTTTTAATTTTGTGACACAGTTTCGTCTACTTCTAACGATAAGAGAAGTAAAATAAACGTATAAAATATAAATATTTGTAGGTAGAAAATTCTTTCACTGAGCATTTGTTCCTTGTTGACATCGATACTTCTTCTTTTATACGTTGTTGGTCACCATTAAATTTTTCCGGTTAGCAGAACTAAAGAATTCCCAGAGGTGTTCTTTCTCTTCTAATACTTGTTCATAACTATACCTTTCACAATGTTATATTTCCTTTCTTCGTTAAATATTAAATTACCTCACTTATACAATTATTCTAATCAATGCTTCATAAATTTTCTAACAATCTTCAGAAACAACTCAACCAAAACAGTGCAGTAAAGGGCTGAGTCTGAAGTGCGAAAATGCTAAGACAATTTCATGACAGAAAATTATCTCAAAATACTACTTATAATATATCAGAAGAAAGCTTAAAGTTTACTGAAAATAATGATATAAATGTCTGCTTAATATTCCTAAAACAAAATCGCTGGTTGTGGATCGCAACGGACAATGTTTCAGAGCGAATGATAATTAAAGTTCTCCTTGGTGCACTTTTATAATAATTTTTCAGAAATTTTAAGCTTTAATTGGACATATCACAAGTGTCATTCCGACATGCTTTTAAGCTATCAAATTACCTTGTAATTTCCACATTCCATAATTGCCCACTTGATACATAACAATCATAATTAATTGTCATCGCAATTTTTAAAATAATAATTGAATGGCACCGATCGTCAATAAACCACAGCATACGTAACGCTAATCTTTGTGCAGAGTGATTTCGATGATGAATGACTGAAAACCAATCAAACATCAATATATTTGTCCTATTAACGCGAGCCGTGCAAACGGTTTATAATTGTAAACAGCATCGTTAATCTAAGTGCGAATGTTATTACAGCAGATTGTCGTTATACATATTTCCGGATCACCGATTTGACTTTCCATCATAAGCTAGGGAGGTTGGTCACACTTTTATTTCCTCTCCAAATAAGAATTTGAAAATTGGAAAAATTTTTCCCTCTTACAACCTCTCCTACGGCAATATAACGAGAGTATACTGTACCATGGAAATCCGGCAAGTTTATAGTGGCAAAAAATAATAATCAACGTTTAATTTCTTTGAATGGGTGTAAAACTGTCAACCAGAGGATATTAATTACCCGTTTATTAACGCCAGCCATTTTGAGCTGGCACAAAAGCTCAGCAAGGGACACTCGCGCCATGTGCGGTCTTAAATATGGAACCTCCTGTGCGGAAAGCTTGCCAGTGACATATGTGTGTCCCCCAGTGATCTCATGGGGTGCCATTCGATGCGTTAATGCAAGATAATGCTTCGTCATTTCAATTTTCCTTTTTTCTAACCCCAAATTTCAGGTGCGATTATTCCCATCAAGGGTGAGCAAGGGTGGAACTTGGAGGGATGGAGAGTAGAGGTTGAACCATACAATTCGGCTTAAGTATGGTTACAAAATTATGGAAAGATTTAATTTGAAACTAAATGGTGTTGATGATCGAGATGTTTCAAAAATTTCAAAGTCACTTTCAGAGCCCCTGGGATAACGTTTAAATAAAATTATGATTTTTTCTTGTCTCTAGAATTCCGCGACGCGACCGCGAAAAATTTGACGAGCATGAACAACGGTTGTCCGTAACCAACTGTTGGAAACTTGCTGATCGCATAGATTAAATATTAATCTAGAGGATGTTCGGGGTAACAATAGAAGGGGGATGATTCCGTTCGCGTTACATCAATATTAATTGCCTCATCAACGTGTTATCGACACTTCAGGGAATTCCTCTTCGTTCGAAGACGTAACTTTCTCCTCTACGTTCTTGAAGAAAGATAATTACTAATTACCGCGACGATTAATTTTGTCTTCAAGTTTCTTCGTGTATTGACGACTTTTTCAAAGTTAAAAATATAATATATGGAATGGGTGATTAAATATCTAAATTTTCCTTCTGATGAAGACTCTGCATTGTTAGATATTATTCTTTTATTTAGGATATCAATAATATTTTGATAGCTAAATACATACTGCCTACAGTCTCTGAGATTATCTTTCGAGGGACAGCATCGTAAATGATCTTGAAAATTGAATTTTAAGAAAAGACAGATTTAGAAAAATGGCGCCGGTTTAAAAGAAGGCAAACTGGCAGGGTATGTATTTCGATGATCGATGAATCGTCACCGATTCTCAATACCCCCTCAGTTTGACACTTTTTGTATCCGAGTACATATTCCACTCTTGCCTCGCGATTGACATTTCGATCGTGATCCTCCTTCAATCGTCGCGACTTTAATCTTTCATCCGCGTACGTGATTCAATGCCGTCGTCACAAAGCGACGGCCTCTCGTCGACTGTAATAATCTAGGCGGGCAAATTCGAGGAAGGAAACTACGAGGCGTCACCTTGCCTCGAATAAGGAAAAACAAAGACGAAGAGTGAATATTTATTCGCTTACAAGTGTAAAACTACAGTTGGATGATGAATCGCTTGCATATGCTATAGATGACAAATGTTTTCTGACCCAACCGCATTACATTGGTTTGCTCCGACCGGAAAACCCTCGCATAACATCTGTTTTATATGATGGATAACCTATAACCGACCAGTTTGGGTCTATCAGACCCGAGAAATGTTCGCTTTATCACATTATCCCTGTTTGTTTATTTTCTACGCTAACGGTGCAATGTAGACCCCAACAGTGCCCGTATGGTTATTTTCTTACTTTTTTAAAATAGAGTACGGTTGGCGCCAGATATTTCAGTGAGAATTCTATAGGTTAACCAGTGTGGACCTAGCCTATGAGACTACAATAATCCATCTTCCCTACCGCGTGGTGTGTTTTTTACCTCAGCCTGGACCTTCCAAGAAAAAGAATGACGAAGAGGAGACTCACCGTGACGAGTGGCGTGGTCAGATCAATTTTTCTTCTGTCCGCGGGTGTATCCTCCACGAGCAGGTCACTAACTACCCTGTACACATCACCCATGACTTACGGGTAATAGCCAACAGAACTCTCTTTTTTGTTATTTTGGAGCACTAGATTCTATCACACCGTAGGCACACCGATGACCAACGAGAATCGTAACGGAGTCAAGACGGACGTGGCGAACACGTTGAGAATCATCGCGCGTGCGACATCATTTTCTTTCTTTTACACTTCGCACTGACAACTTTTCTCCGCATCAGTCAAATACGGAGAATTTACTCGCGACACGCCGCGTCGAATGTCACTTTTCGTTTCGTATACAAAGTGCGAAATAATCGCACACCCGTCGAGTCCGAACACTCAGGACAAACTGTACTCCGGTTTGCCGCTGTACCCACCAGCAACGAAACTCGATGGCGCCACGGCCGTACGGAGTCTGTGCCGTGAATGCGTACACTGCCGAGCATTGCGCCTCTGTTGGCCGAATTGTGTACCGTACACGCGAACCGTATACCAACACAACTATGTCAAGTTATTCACCGGGCGTGCACGTACAACCGACACTCGACCCTCTTCTACGACCGAAACTGGTCGAGGTACAGTGTACGTCAAAAGGAACTTTAATACATATTAGTTACTCACGATCAGAGCGTATTTATACGTCCTCGAAAAATGGACATTCAGGTACGAAAAACAAAAACGTATATATACGTTCTCGAAGAATGAACCTTCCACTTTCAAATGTATATACATATACGTCTTTGAAAAATATTTATTTACATTTCTCACTTCTTCATCATTGCAAAAGATAATGTTTCTTACGTTGTTAAATAGCAAAATTAATTATCTAACTGTAAAATATAATTTATTTCAAAAAATATTAATATTTTTATTAGTATTAATTTAAAAAAATGAAATATTCTTTTGACCAGCACTGTACGTGCACGTACACGATAGGGTGAAGTGGTGTTGGACAAGTGTGGTCGAGAATTGGGGGGTGAGTCTCAGTGGGGTGGTTGATAGAAGAGGAGGAGGAGGAGGAGGTTGGTAGTTACCCTCTCTCTGAACACACGAAGTGTTCCAGGGCTGGCGCAACCGCAATTCGTCGATTGCAACGACTGATTGTGAGCGCGATTTAACGGAAGTCGAGCGAGCTGTCTACTTTTAAAACGTGCCCGATAGGACGGAGTTATGTATAGCTGTGCCGCCTAAATTGCTTTTGCCCGAACGATTTACATTCTTTTCATGTAAATCAGCCGGATCGCTGCTGTGGATCGCGTATGCCGTCAATCTAGTTGTTGCTTCGCGTTTTTAATTGAACTTGTTCGTTCGGTAAACGCGCGAAAGCAGGTGATTGATAAATACCAGGTGGCGACAAAAATTTCAAAGTCTAGACAAACTCCATTTAAATGAAACAACGTGGATGAACATTTTGGGATTTTTAAATCCTAGTTTAACGCGGAGGAGAGGATTTATGACACGAGTCGGTGACCCCAGGCAGTTATGGTTGAAGCCGAAGAGAACTGTAAAATACTATGGTTATTTGTGGAAGCGTGCACTTCCGCACGATTTTTGCCTCCAGACCCGCTTCTGTATACGATTCTTTTTCATGAAACCCTCAAAGGCGGAGAGGCTATACGTCTACGGGATCGGCTGTTCCGCCCTCCGGCCATCGTATACACTCCCTTCCATAAGTCATGGGACCCTGTACCATCATGGTTATTTATTTCATTCGTCATACTGACAATAATTTCGTAATCCTCATCCCCGAGATTTTGGCACATACTACTTGCTCCGTATAAATGAGCCTTAGGGTAAATAAAACAATAGCTTGGACGCCTTTAGGTTCAGTTCACATTGGCTTAGGCCGATACTAGTAGATCTTGTCAGCTGGGGGCCAGAAACCGGCAGACCATCTTCCTCGCCATCCTACGTGTCGGCACAGGCTTCAAAGTGTAACCTGACTTATGAACAGCGATGTATCTTCCCATTTTCTTCTTCTTCTTCTTCTTCTCCTCAACCCTGCGCCCACTTCCTACACAGTTCCAAGGCCATCTAAGGGTTGCCTAAGTCGCCAAAAGCTTGGACTCCCAGTGGAATTCAGCTTCCATAGCGTGAAGGCAGCGTATTGCGTAGCATCCCTCGGTGTCGGTGATGCACTTCGATCCGTTGGGATCGTGCCTCGTAAAATTGGATTTACCCAGACAGTATGGTACCCCTTTTGAAAAGAACCATGTACCGATAGTTCTAGACTATGCATCCTTTTCAATTCCTCCTTCGTCTAAATGATTTTTCGTGAACAAGTAACATCTATGAACGATTAATTTAAAACTTACGTGTCAACGCGTTTAAACCATCATTGTATTATTTATTTTGCAATTTCAAGTATCCAGTCATAGTTCATGAATCATTGAACACTTAATAACAAACTTTTCAAACTTTTTCACCCACTCGACCTCATTAATCTATCCGCGGACGCTGGTTCCATATACATATGTAAATAATATCCATAACCTAAACAATTTATTCAGCTCGCGTGACACGCATGCCCGTAATTTTTAAAGCAGCGCGTACGCGTCGCTTTTAATGAAAACGCACGGCGTGTTTTAATTAAAGTAGCCTCTGCCAGCACAAAATACGCCTCTGCAGATAGAACAGTAGTGATTAGCGATTTGCGACAAACAAGGTGAAGCAATATCCTCTTGATCTCCAGTCTTCGTGTTTGCACACTCGTCTTTAATTTTCACTCTGCTCGCATGCTATTCGTTATTGCCAGGCCAGAGTTCCGTCGTTGCTTTCCGTTTGGAAAGAGGCGAGGCTGCGTCCAATCGATCCTCCATCACGGAGAAGGAAAAAAAGAAAAAAAAGAAAAATGGACACTTTTACAACGACCAATTCATGTCGTATGTATCGTCACCTTAAATTTGCCGATAATCTTTTTCGAAATAGGAGAATGGATTCTAAATCGTTCTTCAACAATGATTTATGAAGAATCCTCCATCCCAGGGGTAGGGCTCCTGAATGAAATTGATCGAATGAGATTTATAGGAGCGCAATTTCGCGAAAAGTACTTTAATCAGGGACGATCTGTTTCCTTTTACAGAAGAAAACCTCCGCACCTCGAAGAAGAATGAAAAAACAATTACGTTGGAAGCAACGTAGATAATAGGCTGGCTTATCTGCCGTGGAACGTTTGTCGGTGGGATGATAGAATGTATTTCAGGCGGGGTGGAAAAGTTGAAGAGGAAAAAGAAGTTTTTCACCAAGTACCGTATCAGATTTCCGCCCCAACTTGCTGCAGCTTTTAAAGCCCGCTTATACTTCAGTTTTCGCGGCAAAACTTAGCCAACAGATACGAGTCGTTGGCCACGATATGGAACCCTGAAGAATGTTGGAAGCGGTAGTCGTGATGGACAAATCGTCTCGAAGACAGATATTGAACGGTTGAACCAGTTTCCACGGTTCGAATAGTTTCTAAAGTCTAACAGATATGTATTTGCCATTTTAGGTTAGGTTAAATGAAATTACGTCAACGATATCAAAATGATCCAGTATTCTATCCTATCAATCATTTATCATTCATAGGGTTACATACAAATCTCCAATATTCCTATCTCCAAAAAAAAATAGAAAAAAAAAAGTAAAAACAGTTCCATGCATTCCATCGTTGTTTCTCCACTCTGGAGAGCACTTGGCCTATCCTGTAGTATAACAACCTCGTTCCCGGAAATCGAGTTGCATTTCCGTTTCATTTTTCCCCGACAGAGACTGTACAAGTTAATTAATTCGCAGCTCGAACCGCTTATTGTACCGAGCTTGGCTACCATTTTAGCTTCACAAGCCACGCGAGATGTTCCACCATTTTGCGTATGCCGTCGCGAAACAATCGTATTCCCTGTACGACCATAACCGCGCCATAGTAAGGCTGCTATGTCTAAGTACTTCAGTGAGAACCGAGTTTCGGACGGTTTCTCCTCACGGGAGACATGTTCCTTTTAATTTATGAAACGCAACGAATGGTATGCCGTTTATGGCGATGCCATCGTAACGTCTACCTTGGCACGTGAACAGAAAAGTTTGCAGGTATTGTTAAGCCAGACACCATCTTGCGTAACTTGAATAGATCTTCTTATGTGATTGATAGTATTCTGGGATATGAAGCCGCGTATTCACTTACAGGGTGTAGATAGACATTTTTCTTATAAATTAAGGGAGGAGCTGTATAATAAGTTTTTCGACTGAACGTCGCTAATATGCGAAGAAACTTTTCTTTTCCAAAATCCAGTGACCTACATACTGTTTCTCAGTGTCTAATATTTAACTGGGTCCTCCGAATGGTCGCCCAGAAACTTTGTAACGACGACACGTTCGATGGTACGTTAGCAGTAGGTTGCCGGATCGTAAATAAACCTTTGAAAGGATCGTTCACGAGCGATTCGGCCCGCAGGCAACCGTGACACCTGGTGTCTCGTGCAATCAGCATTAAACTCCAATGAGGGTGAAAAGGAGGTGGAAGTTTAGGTATCGTTGGCAACGCGCCGATTTCGAAAATGTAGAAGCTTCATCTTCCATTGACAATGCTTTCTGAACTTGGGAATACACGAAGAAAGGCTGGCTCACAATGCAGGCAAGCATCAGCTGGATCTTCAAATAGTACCGATTGTAAGAAATGGACCGTGGGTCTGTGGTGTACAGAGGCGTGAGTTTAGGATCGCCCAGGTGCCAGGTGCCACCTTCCCGCCCCGCTCGTATACCTGAGGGGCACAATACCCTCCTCTATTCTTTCGAATTCTTCCCGATCGTCATAACCTTGACGATTCCAAGGATATTGCGGCTGCCATGCGTGATTATGCTGGCAGATTGATATTGATCGAGGGGATATTGGGAATCCATTGGGAATGTAAGATTTTTATTTCGATTCAATGTTTTATATTTTACTTTTTCATACTCCGATTAATATTTTTAATTTTTTTAATGTACAAATTTTAATTTGAAAGTACAAAGATAGTAATTATTTTAAACAGAATTGTTTAAAGGATAAAGGAAATTTTTTGAAAAACCCTATTTCTTTGTAATATTTCAAAACGTCGATGTTTCTGCATTTACACAATGATTCAATTATTTTATTTATGCTGTGATGCCTTCTTTATCGTTAAGTGCAAGGTTTGAAACGTATACAATGACTGTAGCCTTGACCAGAACGATCGCATCGTCATCTCGTTATATCATCGAGAATCTTACTCCAATTAACATAACGTGTGGGCAAGTATATGTATTTAACACCACGTTAAATGATTGCATTGATTCATAATTTGTAAATATGCACAGCGTGAAGTTATTCAATAAACTTTGTTCTGATCATATTTCATGCAAATTTATGTAAATTTATTGTAGATACGTTTTTTTATAACTTATTTCAATTTTTCTTTTTGAAAGATGATGCTGAGTACTTGAAACGGTATAAAAATGATCTTTTATAATTATTTTTTAGAAATATAGAGATTGTTATTTAACAGTTTAGTAAAAAAATTGGTAGAAAACTTATTTTTTACTTCTGTATTACCAAGTACATTTAAAATCATGGTACCAGCGTCATCTCTTGGTTAGCGACGAAATCAGTGCCACAGAAAATGGTGTTACTTTATAAAATAACGCTTTTTGAATAAAATAAGTGACTTTTAAGTATTATTGCTACTAGTAGAATCAATGCATATTTCCCGATAATATTGATTATTCCCTTTATCATACATCAGTAAGTATTTTATCACAGACAAGGTATAAAGTTGACCTATCATCTTATGAGACTTCGTATCTCACGTTCCGAACTACCAACAGCTAAGAACTTCCATTTTGTTACTTCTATACTTAAGTGGTAAATGCAGGTAATCACATTTTACATATGAAATATTATACTGTATCATTAATTATTAATTGTGAAATCCTAATTTATAATTACAAGTGATTATATCAAATTGTTGCTGTAAATAGCGAAAGACTGTCATCATTTTTGACTTTAATTCCTGCCAGTAGGGGCGCTGTGATGTAAAGTCACTTCTAATTGATACAACAGGCTGCGACCTGAAAATGGAAGGGTAGTTCTACAACCCCCCAGGTGCGAGGCACCAGAAAGCAATAGGCGATGCGTCTAATCCATACCTCATCTATAATTTTATTTCGGAATCTAATTTTTTTAAATAAAAAATCCATTTTACTGTTTTTGAAAAATTCATCTTATTGTTAGACTTTTGATAAAGCATCCAGTTCTGATAAAAGCGCCTCTAACTAAGCCTACCAGTACTACAACCGCCAATAAGACAGGTCCCTGTAAAATCAATACAACAATACTTACAACAAAAATTATATTAATCAATGTTTCTACCCTTAATAGACAAACTACTTCTCTTCCAATTTTACCCTTTTATCATAAATACAATTTTGATCATTATATAAATATTATTTACAGTAGAAGCTAGAGCATGCAACAAGTATTTCAGCCTATAGACACCTATCCCAGATCATTTCCTATTCTAATATCCAAAATAATGATAAAGAATCATTGTTAATAAATTGTCCACTTGTCATTTAGAAAAATTGACTTATTAAATGACTCAGTCCATAGGAGGGTTAATTAGTTCCTTAACACCATCATCGTTAATGTCCAATGCATACAGGTGCTAAATCGATCGACTGGTTCATCAACCGTGTCACCCTAGTACGTTCCACTTACACCATTCGCGTTAGCGGCTACAATACGGCACTCGCAGTAATCCTTCATGGTGGACTTGAACCATGTTGATGTATCATTCCCGACTGTCGCCATAGAATTACCAGTACATATACTGGTGTCGTACAGATACAGAAAAATAGCATTGTGATAAGAGATGATCCTTGTTTCTCTATTTGGTTCCATTTTCTATGATTTTGAAGTAACAAATGTCGACGTAAGTTCCTTTGGAAAAGTTGACAGTCCTAGAATCGTTAATAGCTTCAAAAATTTGAGCAGTAGGAGCCCTTTTCTTTAGGGAAACCTAGGGTGTTCGCCTCAGCTACTTGATTCGAGATCCAAGTTGACTTGAAAATAATGATAAAACATTTTTATGTTGTACATACATAGTAACCATCTACGATCCTTAAACTGAAAAACAAACATACTGCTTCTGATAAGTCTAAAAGTCACAGGTGTTTATCATCTAAACTCAACTTGAAACCATATGGCCGAGGTCTCAGGATATTTTACAAGTAGTACAGGTGAAATCACGCAAAAAAGGGAGGGTGGGAACGGGTAAGAAAGTAGGTCGGTAGGGGATCAAAGTTAGAAAAACGTTGAGAAACACTGGGCTAAATGAGTAGTCATTGTCGTAATGATTACTTTGAGTAATCGAACAGCTTAAAAATCCAAGATAGTCGCAGGTGTCGGTCGGCCAAACGACTAGTCGTTGTCCTGTCTTCATGCGTTATGTAGAGGCTGGCATAAACGAGAGAAGAAGCATGTGTAGTGGTAGGTGTAGGTTGAGCTATGGGGGTTCGCGAGGTAGTCGAACGTAGCGCAGCATCCGGCCGAGTGAGAAAGAGAGGAACACGTTTCTCCGGTACACAGTGGTGGGCAGAATATTGATCTGTGGGGTGGGCTTCGGGGATGGTGTCCTCGAGCCTTCTACCCCAGGCCACCCACTCTGCTGATCCTTCTCTGTCTCACCAGAGCCACCCGGCTGGTAGCCTCGGCGGTGGTGGGGGGGACGCTAGTTGCGTGGTGGTCCAGTCCGCAGCTTCCCGCGAAATCATGGTGGGACCGAACTGCGAACGGTAGGGGTGTTGTTCGGGAGGGGATGAAGAATGGTAGAGGGAAGGTTGTACCCATCGTGGAAAGCCTTACTCGCGTCTATATCGCGGCCGGTAGCTGCGAGTCGCGAGAGAGCTCGACCGGCAGCTCTTACACGACCCCCGACCGCCTCCTATTTCAGGGTACTTTCAGTTCCGTTTGGATACCCGATCACAGAACGAGGCGGTTTTCTCCCTCCCATCCCCCTTCTCACTCTCTCTCTCTCTCTCTCTTTCTCGCTTTTTCATTCGCCCACTAACGTTCTCTCTCTATCACACACACACACACACACACTCTCTCTCTTTCTCCTACAATCACGGAATCTCCGTCCTTCTCCTTGGAGTTCCCCCTCGCTCTGTCTACCTAGCTGTTGCCCCTTTGGCTCTATCCGCGCACACGCCTCGCTTCTGTCCGCTTCGCCTTTTTCTCGACCGCTGTCTCAGTCTACCGCGAGTCGCCTACGTCTGCTTGCAGACCCGCGCGTGTCACAGTGCACCATCGTCATCGAAGGATCATTCGGTCGGACACCGGCCTGACTCTGCCACGTCGTAGCGGCCGGTGGGTGCGATATGTCGGCTACTCGTGTCTTGTGCGGGAAAACGCGAACAACGTTGCCGGAACGTCGTTGAACTCCCTCTGTCCAAGACCACCATGGACATCGAATAGGGATGCTGTCCACCGAGAACGATGCTAGTACCTTGTCGCGTACGAGAAAGGTTAAACGAAGTGGATTTCACGTAGATAGGGAGCAGCACGCTTGGCCAAGTTGCCTGGATACGGGCGAGCACCGTGTTGCGCTCCGGTGAAGTAGGAGGAAGCGAAAGGAGAGGTGGTGCTAATACACGAAAGGATGGAGGGTGCGGTGGACGGTAGTGGGACGAAGAAGACGATGCACGAGGCCGAACAGGCTACCAACGCAGGCTCGTGCTGCGTCCAACAATCGCGATAGCATAGTAGCAGCCTTCTTCGGATACAATCGCGTGTATGATAATCTCACGAGAAGCGTTGCTCGTCGAAGCAACACTGTGGCTGGCCGGCTGCTCTCTAATAATTTGCCTCGCTTCCTCGCCAAACCTCGAAGATGTGCTTGTGTCTCTGATAGTGAAAGGAATACGTAACACCTGTGAATCGAGTGTCTAGCAAAAAAGAAACTCGTGAAACTTTTTCTCCCTTTGTATACGCCGAGCTGGATAACAACGAGCCTTTTCTAAACAACGCCAGGATAGGGGGTTGGCGTGCTATTGATAAATGGTGGCAGGCGGCTGATGCCGGAAACAATTGTAGGTACGTTAGGAGGAATTGTTAGCTTTTCACGAAAAAATTTCCTTAAATTTTCTGACTCTTCAAACTGCTACGATGATTCCAAACAACGATGATGGAAGCACGTGTTGATGATAATTTCTTAGGAGTCATTGGCCACTGGCGATAAATCTGAATAAATTTTTCAAAATGAATCTCAAATCATTTCGTCCAATTTTTAAGGGAGACTATTTACAATTTAAGTAATTTTAAGTCGTTCTATTCTAATATCCAGTTGAACCCATTGCTAGTCACGAACTTTGACCCTTTCGTTTGAAAAAAATCCCTCCCTCGAATTTCTATGAAAGCCAAAGTCTAGGAAACCTTAGCAAGTAGTACAATAGCGTCTGGAGCAGTTTGACACGGTATAATAATTATTTGCAGGAGTTTCCTAGAATGCTGAACGACCGAGAGGACCTAGAACTCTAGCCGTCTGTCATTGGACTGGAAGAAAGTTCCACACCTCTTATCGTGCATAGTGATGATGGTTGTATGTGTACGTACGAGTGATTATGATGTTTCGAGTCAGTGATAGAAGCGAATTGGCGGGTAACCGTTCGTGACGGTGACACGTAAACAGTGAAGTGAACAGAATACCGAAAGCCTTTTGCCAATAGGAGATGGCAAGTCTGCAGAATTCATTCGCGATGGCGAATCAGACGAGAGCTCTGACACAGATGCGAATAAAGCTTTGTATGGTCAGCGCTGGTCTCCAAATAGTCCTTTTGCTCACCGTCCTACCTCAAGGTAAGTTCTCAAGGCTTCTCCTTCAATTGAACCTGGCTAGGTGTGATACCCTCCCTTTGGGGCTCGGGTTAGATTACGTTTAAATTTCTTCTTCAAAATTATTAGAAAAGTTTTTGAAAAGGATAGAAATCTTGCGACCTCGTTCACAGTTTCCGAATAGCGGTTACCACCTTGTCAAGTGGAAATCCAAAGTGAACCTTAATTAGAGGTGCGCGAAGCTTATCGGCACTCGCTTTCAAAGCTATTCCCAACTCCATCTTCTTCTTTCGTGTATACGCATTCATTCGATCGAACGTAAATTTGTCCTGAAACTACCGTCTTCGATCGGTCCAAAAAGCAATAGACTTCAGTGATTCTATATATTTTGATGTTATCAGCCGCTGAAAGTTCGATAACGCGATATCGCGTGTTCATAAAATTTCAATGGTCTATCTTTCCCTCGACGAGCAATGGTCGACAGTCTTCCAGTGATTCTGGTGCAGTTCTCGCGAAATTGAACTCATCATGGCACCCGCAGGATGAATGATTGTCGATAAAACGTGATCCTAGGAAATTCGCGACGGAAACTGAGGACAGATTTAATGGCATACCGAATATCGAGCTACGAGTATAAGGAGCATGTTTAATGGAGTGGAAAAATGTTTGGTGCAGGCGAACACCCAGTAGTATTCTTTATCATTGTTTCATGTAAATAGGTTCCATAATGTATTACTACTTGGAATCAATAAAATTGTCGACGATTCTGCTTTTTAGAAAATATTCCTTTTATTAAGTTAAATCTTTTAATTTTGTTCATGGAAAAATCACCACACTCTTAAGAGAAATGTCTGAAATTCGTTTTTGAATAATTTCGTTTGAATATTAAGGTATCCTCAAGATACTTTATTCGCTTCCTAATGCACTCGTATACATTCTTCCATTGATAAATCCTTCATCGAAAATAAAAATACACAAAAGAAACGTTATTACACGGCAATACCATTTTAGTCGTTGAAGAATGTGCTTTCGAAGGTCGAAGCTCGCACATATCTTCTCTCCAGTTGGGAGATTACAGCCGATAATAAGTCATCCGATTTATCGCCATGCTTCCGTTGAAATATCCCCTCGAAGGGACCAGATTTTCTAGGGGGAGGGGTGGTGTCTACACCCCTACTGTTCGCGATCGTGAGTTATACTCCTGGCAATAGCGTGGAAAGCTTCCCGGCAAAACTGGCCGAGACAAGCGCGTATTTTTTCATTTTAAAGGTATTACCGCGACCGATAGCTGTTTCTCAATTATTTATCCTGGTTAGAACGCGGACCTGGAAGAGATACCGATATTTCTCAGCGGGGCAGTTGGACTATAGCCTTGACAGAAATTCTACGTTTCGCCAATCTGTCGAAGAACTAAAACAGCTGCCGGAATGTACATTGTGTGGGAATATAGGAGTGCGAGAGCTAACGCGAAGAGAGAATGAGAGAGGCGACAGGGTTAAGCCGACAAGACTTACCGACGCAGAACGGAAAAACATTTTTCCTCTTGGTGAAATCTCTCGCTCGTAAGCCTCTCGAGCGCTACTCCTTTCAGTTAATGCCCGTACACACGCGTATATACGTTTTACAGCGATACGATGGGGCGTGCGTTTTCTGCGAATCAATATCGGCCCAGTTATGAACCTGTTTCGAGTTTCTTGCTAATGCAATGCAAAAAGACACCCGTCACTCTTACACTAGGTATTCCAAAAATCGTTTCCTATCCGATCGTTTCCGATAAGATGGTACACATTTCTTTAGAAATATTCCTGCCTAATGAGGCACGTTTACTACTGTCAGATAGGTAGGAACGATTATTCAAGTTGGCATCAACCTCTTCCGAATCTTTTAATACATAATGCGATGCAAGAAAACGTGTAAGATGATGATTTAATTAATCTAAGATGACATAAAAAATTTATACTCTGTCAAACTTATACTGAGAAGAGGAATTTATGAATAAGGTGTATACAGTTTGTTATAACTTCCGTTCTGTTAGGAAACTCAGTGAACGGAAGCTATAAAGGGGACGAAGCATCGTTGTGTATCCATGAAGAGCACGTTGAAGTGGGTACACGATTAGTCAGTTAACATTCTCCGAAGCACTCAAGTTTCAGTAGATTAGCTTTCAGTCGTTAACTACTCGGCCCGAAATCTCAAGTAATCAAGCTTCAATAACTTTGATAAGGAACTTGGGTCAATATCGTACAATGTTCGTAATGATCAATTAAATTTTAGTATCTCGATGAAAATCATTCAAATGAATATTGATTTGTTCCTTGTAAGAGTCTTAAATATATTAACACTTTTAGTCCGGATGTTATAGGAAGATAGCGAATCTTGTGCCCGGATGGGTTTAGTTTAAACCAAATAATGGTCCTAGAAAATCATCTACGGAGTTTGGAAAAATTCCGTTCAACGAACAGTATATTGAATCGATCACGTGTTTATCTGTCTGAGCGTGTTCTGATTTGGAATACAGCAATACCCAGCAGAGAAATGAAACAACTCGATGGCTAGAGCAGTCAGCCGACAAACGAAATATTATATACACGTGTATGAATCTCGATTCAACGGTTCGATCAACCGAATTGCTTGTTCTCGTTAGAGAAAAAAAAAAAAAAAAAAAAAAAAACAGGAAAAAGAACAAAAACTGACTTAACTTTGGTACAAAATTCACTGTATCACCCCGCGCGTTTTGCGCTGCATGGATTTATACGATTTCGCATCGTGTTTGACAGAGTGAACGATATGTAGGTACCAGTGGAAGGTTTATTTTCTATTTGCCACGTGTACGTGCGAGGCTGGCTGTTCCATTTGATTCAGAAAACGACTTGCACCATTAAATCAACCCAGCAATCGATGCAAGACCTCTGGTAAAATTCTCCTCTCTGGAAAAGTAGAAATGTTTCGCAATTTTCATTTTCAATTTAAGTAATTGTTTCACCGTCGAATTAATTGGAAAGCTTTTTGGATATGGCTTTCCATATGGTTTCCCTTGGGTGTTGGCCCAGCCTAGAAATGATTAATAATCTGTCGTGGTGCTGGAAATTCCACTAGCACTCTGTTTGAGGGCATCTTCGTTCTACCCTCAATGCTTCACAGCTCAAGGTTGCTCCTTTTATTTAAATTGCCGCCATTTATAACGTCAGAAAGCACGTTTAATGGTGATTTATGGTAACACAGACTACTGGGTCAGTATTGACCCACACCGATGCATCATAATCGGTCAGGAGCGCCATGCATCTGGACGCTCAGGTTGCCCCCCATGGGACACCCTTTTTTTCTCCACCCCTTGTTCTCCTCAAGTTGCAAAGGGGAGCGACAGAAATAGGCTGACGAAGAGGGAAGATACCTTTTATAATTAGGCCCACGGGCGACGCGTTGCTCCTCTAATTATCTGTCCAACAATCCGTCAGCGAATGAGTAAGTGCCGCCTCTAGACGGTCGCCTTCCTTGTTACAAAGCTTATTCAGTTAGACCGACGAATTCGTAGCAATATCTAACATCATCCTTTCAAGTCCACATTAAACCATCTTCGCATGATCGTTATCGTTTATAAGTATTAGATCAATGATTTTTCAGATATCCGCTCTCAAAGTGTTCAATTTTAAGTTGACACGCTATAAGTGTTGTTTTGTGCCATTAAATGATGCTAGACTTAAAGAATTTTGCTCAGGTCGCGTCGAACAAGGGAGGGCGAAGGCCAAAAATCTTGAGATAACCTACAATCTAAAGGTGCTAGTACTAGAGAGTCTGTTTTTTAAATTTTGTGGAAATTCAACTCAGGGTGCTTTTATGATGATTAAGCTTCCGTGTTCTTCTTCAAAATCACGTTCAATCTCGTTCCATGTGACACGGGTTTCAAGTAGACGACATGTATTCACGGTAAATTGCCTCTTCTATAATAACAGCATTATGGATAGCAACATCTGTTGCCTGTTACCTGCAAACTTCCTTCATGTTCGCCACGACTTTGCAATCCCCTATATGCGCGACAGACACGAGTAGATTGCTAATTATGCTTCCCTTGCCTTCCAATAATTTCTTGTAGAATTAAGGTAAAAAGTGAAAATTAATAATGAAGGAGACTGGATGATTAAACTCAACGATTTGACATGTTCAGAACGATAGTGGTAGTTTGACCATGGGAGCAATGGGTTACGAAGGAAAATCGTAAAATCGCTGGGGCTTGAAGGGTAGAAATGCCAGACTAAGGTCGTCAAAAGAAAATTATTTACAACGCAAGTGCCGCGCAAGGTCGTCGTCAATATACCCTTATCTATTGTCTTCAGCCTGTGCCGTTGGCTGATAACGATCAAAATGGTGGCCGATCGATGGAGAGGGTTACATTGAAAAGCGGTGGCCAAAGTGTTTACCTAAGAGACTGTAAGCCTCTGTGATTTGAGTAGCCAAGGCTGCCTCCGATATCCACGCCCTCTTAAACCTTGATGCGCATATACCGGTTGACCCAATAAGGATAGCATCGTTACTCCTAGCATTTTCCCTAGGTTTAGTCTACTTTAGGACCAGGCTAGATCGAAATCCTGCGAGAGGCTGCAACGAACGGTAAAAGCACTCGACCCACGCCTCGCTTAATACTTGTCAACTAGCAGAACTTTGATAAACATTTTTTCTCTAACCATTCCTTTCCCTTAATTAAATTGTTCTTCTTACACGTAGTTACCCTAAATGCCAGCGTTATTTTATCACTTGCTCTATTCACACATCGATAATCGTCGCTTGAATCGAGCTGCCCTACAAGGGAAAGCATTGGAGGGATGAGGAAGGGTGAAAAGGGGTGGTAGGCTTGTTGCTGGAATGTGGAGCAGTGTGTCAGAACGACACCCTTCTGTCGCTTAGTCCCTCTGTACTTTCCACCCCCTTTCATAAAGACTTCTCCCCCCGCCAACCATGGATCTACCCTTGTTTCTCTACCTTTTGCTACCCCAGCAGCCGACCCTAACGCCAGCCACTTGTCTCGTCTC